TTGTAGGTTTTGATGATAATGACCTCGCAATTAGAGAACTAATGAAATTTATCGAGATGACAAGTAGGGAATTTATATTTGAGGATGCTACAGAAAACAGACAAACCCCCAACTACAAATATAGATGGCTTCAAACTCAAAGGAGGTTTAAATTCTTTTCTATATTGAATTTAAGTATAGGAAAAGCCGTACTATAAGGGGGGCACAGTGCTTAAGCTAATCTATGCTACTAAGTGCTCAAACAGCCACATGCATCCTCAGATTCACAGCCAAGATAGTCAACACTTTACTATTATCCTTATTGTCTTGCGGGGTGCGAGCTCCGACTCGCCCGACCCCTTGGGTGCGGGCTCCGGTTCGCCCGACCCTTTGGTCGCGGGCTCCGATTCGCCCGACCCTTGGTCGCGGGCTCTGGCTCGCCCCGACCCTTTGGTCTTGGGCTTCGTGTCGCCCGACCCCAAGGTTGCAGGCTCCGGCTCACCCAAACCTTTGGTCGCGGGCTCTGTCTCGTCCGACCCTTTGGTCGTGGGCTTCGTGTCGTCTGACCCCAAGGTCGCGGGCTCCGGCTCGCCCGACCCTTTGGTCACGGGCTTCGTCTCGCCCGACCTCTTGGGTGCAATGTCCGTTGGGTGCTAGGGGTATATATACCTTTTCTTTTTCTTTCCAACAGCTACCTGCGATTTAAGTGACCGTTGGGGCCTAGGGGGTATATATACCTTTCCCTTTCTTTCCCAACGGTAATGAACCAACCTGCTCCCTTCCTCCTCACTTTAGCACACTCAAAACAGCAGCAGGAGCTCTCTCTCTCTCACACACACTTCATTGTTGACCTCAAGCCCCCAAGCAAATCTATTGATTTTCCCATCAATCCTTGAGGGATAAGGGTCCAAAACTTGATAAGAGAGCATCTCCATCGATTCCAAACTCTAAATAGCACTTGGTTCATATTTTGACCGGCGGTTGTGTTTGTTACTCTTGGAGCTTGGCTCCTAGCCAGCTAGAGCGTCGCCCGGTGAGCTTGCTAACTTGTGTGGTAGCCCCAAGAGGTTTGTAACCACCTCTTGCAACAAGTAAAATCACCCGTCATCTTAAGAGTTCACTCTCTTGACTTGAGAACGAGGTAGGGTTGCAAATTCCTAAGCCTTAGTGGTATACCTCAATAACATGGACTTAGGTAAGCCTTGATGGCGAGCTAAACCACGGGATAAATCCCTGTCATCCTGTGCTTGTGTTGCTACACTTGTGTTCTTGTTGTTGTTGAGGTGATTTCTAGGATTGAGGCCGATCTACTTGTGTGTGGTGTTCCCACCACTTTCAGCTGTCGATCTGTGATGTACCACCCTACAGGAAGCTAAGAAATTTACCCGATCTAAATTTCGTTGGGTAGATTTTGAACTATAAACTAATTTCTTCTGCAGGTGCGGCAGTGCCGCTGGTGAATTTAACTTCGGTTTGAGTTGAATTGTTAGAGGCCAATTCACCCCCCTCTAGGCGTGCCAGAGATCCTACAGGTATGTGAACAAGTGATTGACTGGTTGAAAGAAGATGCAACTGTTGGTGCTACTGAACTCCAAAGGAGGCTGAAGGATGAGTGCAAAATCTTGGTACCGTACAGGAGGGTGTGGAATGGTAAGACTCTTGCATTGGATAAACTGTATGGGCCCTGGAATAAAAGCTTTGATAACATGTATAGATTCAAGGCCCAACTAGATGAAACATGTCCTGGTTCATTTGTTGTGATTGATCACCACACCATCAACAAAAAGATTATGTTTAATAGGTTTTTTAGCCCTGAAACCATGTGTGGATGGCTTCCTTGGAGGTTGTAGGCCATATTTGGCAGTAGATAGCACTTTCTTGTGTGGAAAGTTCAGGGGCAGTTGTGCATTGCTTGTGTAGTTGATGCGCACAACTGCATGTACCTTGTAGCAATAGGTGTTATTGATTCTGAAACAAATGAAAACTAGGTTTGGTTTATGGAGAGGTTGAAGGAAGCAATAGGCACCCCATCTGGTCTGACATTCTGCACAGACTGTGGACAGGCAGTAATGCATGGTGTTAGTAAGGTCTTTCCACATGCTGAACATAGAGAGTGCATGTGACATTTAGTTCAAAATTTTAAGAAAAGGTTTAGTGGTAAAAATTTTAATGATCACCTGTGGGCATCTGCTTACTCTTGGAGCAAATACATGTTTGAGAAACACTATCAGGCCATGGCTGCAGCCAAACCTGAGGCAATGAAGTACCTGCAACAGAATCACAAGAAGCTATGGACCAGAAGTCAGTTTGGCACAGATTCCAAGGTGGATTATGTAACCAATAATTTGGCTGAGTCCTTCAATAACTGGATAAAGGCAGAGAAGGCCAAGCACATTGATGATTTAATGGATACCATAAGGCAGAAACTATTGATTAAATGTAATACTAGGAAAAAGGTGGCCAAAAAGTTTGTAGGAAGATTCTACCTCATGTTATGCAGCAGCTGAGGGAAGGCAACTTCAACCTAGACATTGAGATCATCATAGAACATGATAGAGTTGCTAAAGTTTGTGCTAAGGGGGGGACTAGATTCAAATTTGTTGTGGACTTAAGAAACAAGACATGTTCCTGCAGGACTTGGCAAGGGTCAGGAATACCATGCAAGCATGCAATTGCCTACATAACATCTATACCTGGTGAAAAGCTAGAAGACCATGTGGATGAATGCTATTCTGTGGCCAAATTCAAAGCCGCATATGAAGGTGCCATCCCATCCATTCCTGACAAGTCTATGTGGCCTGATGCCACACATGGATTCTTCATGCATCCTCCCTTGCTTAAGTCCACAGCTGGTAGAAGAAAGAATAGGTACAAAGGGACAGTTGAAGGAGGTAGCAGGAAGAAATCAAAGAGACATGAGTGTCCAATATGCCATGAGTTAGGGCACTACTGGTACACCTGCAAGAATGGAAGTCCAGCAGACATAGCTGCAATGGAGGCTGACAGGTGAACTTCTCTCAGTTACATTTATTCATGTATGATATGAACTGCATTAAATAATCTAACATAACTCAAATTTCACATGTAGGGGTCTGCCAAAGAATAGGCAAAAAAAGCAGCTAAAGCTAACACAGAGACAAGCATTGTTGTGGCCACAGGAATGGTGTTCCCTCCCAATGAGACAGTGGAGAATGCTGTACACAAGAAAAGAAAGAAAAAAAATCCTCTTCTTCATCATCTATCTCCAAATCTAAGGAAGCAGCAATAAGTACTTCAGTCTCTACTACTACTACTTTCTCTAGCAGGTATGCCACTTCTCCATTTCTTTGTAATTTTTTGCAATGCCAACAGCCCACACTAAACTTCATGTTTCATGTACCACAAGATCTGGAACTGGATCCAATGAACCAAATTCTATTCAAGTTGTGCACCTTGCCCCTTATAATGAAGATGCTGCAGTTCATCATGAGCCATAGCAAGCTTCAACTGCTATAGTTCATACACCAAGGAGGAAGATCGGATTGAAAAAGAAGCTTACACCAAGGAAAGATGTGTCTGCCACTCCAGCTAGGGGAACAAGCAGCAAGGCTCCAGCTGACCCTTCCAGCCCAGCTGCAAATACCAGAAGCAAGAAGCAACTGCTGCTGGAATGAACAAAGGTGACTCCACCATGTTGTTTTGATGATGCACTGGTGCTGTACTCCTGGAGAACACATTGGCTTTTGTGGTATGAAATCATTTGGATGGTATGAAATGATGATGTAATGGAGCTGTAATATTTTGTATGATCAGGATATGTAGTTTATGGTACTTGCTCTGGACAAACTACTGGTGTTAGATGAAATTGTGGTTTATGGCTTGTATGTTGGTGAACAATCTAAACCATGAACACTACTTATGTTTGTAATGTATTAAGGTTTGCATCTGAGCTGCTGCATAACTCTATCTTGCACTACTCCACCAGCCTGACCACCTTCCTGGATGAGAGCCATTGGAGTTAGGGCAAAGGACTCGCCTTACCCCCTCTACTCACAAAGACGCTTGAAGCTTCAGACATGACAGCACAGACCTTAAAGAAGAGAGCGATGGAGAGGGAACTGAGTGGGGGAGAGACCTCAGTGTTGTCTATTTATAGGAGCCACCCAGGAAGATTTTTTGGCGCCAAAGGCCCATCAAATTGGTGACAAAGCACCATCAGATAGCCTCTTCTTCCTGATGGCATGCTTGTCTTTTTCCCCATCCGTTAGCCACAGTTAACGCTGCATTTGGACAGAATGACTTGTAAGGCAAAAAAGTTTAGAGCAGTGACACCTATATGCAGTCAACTTTTTTAATAGCTTATGTGCTTAACTTTTTTAATGATTTATGTGTAATTACAATCTTTTTTAATAGTACATAAGTAAAAGGCTCATCTTGATAGTCTCAATCAGTTTCCAATCAGTAGCTCCATGTGAGGCTGTCACGACTGCTACCACCTGAAGGATGTCCTGCTCCATGCTACAGCGTGCTACAGCCTCCAGCCCTCCAGCAAAGAGCAACCACTGGGCCTGGAGTCATATCTGCAGCTCCTGCCAGCTTACCCAACCAAAAAAAAAAAACTATCGAAATCCCCAAGAAGATTAAGAGTTCTGCATCTCATCAGCATGTTCGCTTGCTCGTAAACAATCGTAAATTTCCAGTCAGAAACAGTACTTTTCTCTCACACTAAACCAGCCAGCAGTAAATAATCCACGAAACGATACGGCCTCCAAACAGGCTGCATACCGGCCAGTTGGCCATCGAGCAAACTGTATGCATGCAGGAGTGATATGGGGGGCAATTAATATCGGTAATGCCATTGTTTCATTCAAGTGTTACGATCCTGTAGCCACGTACTGATTTTACAAGTAAACAAAGCACATGAGTTTTGACAAAATTTATTTAATCAAAGTTACACCAAATGGAATACACGGGAAAAACTGTATAGCTGGAAGGACCCAAAAATCCCAGCCTAGTTGACCCTCAACTATTTGTACCTCAACCTAGTTGAGGTTATGGAAGGAATCGATGATGGCGTCGGCAAGATAATCACATTTAGCCAGGGACAGCCCAGCTAACGAGATCCGCCCATCCTTGGTCATGTAAACATGCCATTTATCCGTCATGTTATCACTCTGCAGACAAAGAATGGAAATTATGGGTTTATGTTTTTTGTTTTTTTGTAGATGATATGTATGTTTCGACAATTAGTGGGCAACCCGTGATTGGAACTTAATTTAGCGTGTGATGTCTGCACAGCAGCAAAAGTGGAAGCAGTGATACCTGTGCTTTGTTCAAGCCAGTGTAGGAGAACATGCCAATCTGCCTCAGAATGAAAGACCAGTCTTTGCCACTCTGGTCCTTCGCAGACAAACTATCGTAGAGCTTCTGTCTTACATTCTTGATCCGCCCAGCCATTTCCTCCATCTCTTGTTTCCATTCACCAAACATAGTCGGATCACCAACAACATTGGCAACTATCCTGGCACCGTGAATAGGGGGATTCGAGTACATGGGCCGTGCCAATCGTTTCAGCTGGCTCTTTACCCTGAAAGGAAGCGATGTGGAATGCAGTAAGGAGATAAGTCTATTGCAGCAATAGGAAGACTATATTGCCTGCCAATTCTGTATATGAAGCAATTATTGGAAAAATTGATTGCTAATGAAGGATAAAAAATTACAAACGGGGGGTTGCCTATAGTGCTTGCTCAAGCATTTGCAACTACTGAATGAAATTGGGTCGAGGGGGACTGGGTACGCAAGCAATCAGTAAAAAAACAAAAGAATACCTATCTGCAACGTCTGTTGCTGAGCACACGACATTTATTGCACCAATCCTTTCAGAATATAGACCAAGGTTCTTGCTGTAAGATTGTGCAACAAACACTTCCATGCCACGCTTAACAAAAAGCCTGACAGAAAATGCATCTTCATCAAGGCTTCCACTGGCAAAACCCTAAAGTAAAACCTACCAGTCAGTGGAAGAGATATTGCGATACATACATAGAAGAAAAGGTACTCAAGCAAAAACAATTCACCTGATATGCAACATCAAAGAAGGGCATATGTTTTTTCTCTTGAATGACATCTGCAATTTTCTCCCACTGTTCAGGAGTTGGGTCTATTCCAGTTGGGTTGTGAGCACAACCATGTAGCAGAACAAAAGATCCTTCAGGAGCAGCCTGTTGTGAAAAGAGGAAATGAATAGATAATGGCATAAACAATCAATTGAAAGCAAATTGTTCATTTTCAGAACAAAAAATTCTTTAGATGAATTCAGGACTAATTTATTAAAGCATTACTCCTTAGACCCAACAAAGTTCATAAAATGGAAGATACCTAGCAAAAATAACAATAGTGAAACAAATGACAATATCCAAGTACCTCAATGTCAGCTATCATTCCCTCAAAATCCAACCCAACAGTCTTGGGGTCATAATACCGGTACTCTGACCAAGGTACCCTAGCATCATTGAAGATATTCTTGTGGTTACCTGTTAACAAGTAGAATGAATGAAATTAGAAGTCCGCCACTGAGACACTTCACATTTCACCAAAAACAATGATAGCCCAAGACCTATGAGTCATGATTTGGGTAGGTACATCAAGTCATGAAGAATAGTCGCATCAACATACTTACCCCAGGTGGGCGACGATATGATTACTTTAGCTTCAGGGAAGTATCTTTGTATGAATGCTGCAGCAAGACGCAGTGATCCGGTGCCGGAGAGAGACTGAATTGTAGCAACCTGCAAAAGAAGAGTTATTAAGTAAAGTTAACTAAAGGAAACATAGGAAACACCTCTTTTTTTATCGAATACGCATGAGATCTGCACATCTTTGCATTAAGAAGAAATGGTATGATAGACGATGCGCATGCCTTGGCCGCCCAAGTACAAGAGAAAAGATCAACCTAAATTCTAAATTCTAGGTCTTCAGCACTGCATACATGGTACCAGCATTGCATAATAATACAGGTACAAAACCAGCAGAAAGGTCTGCATAGCACATACCAGTCCTTGCTTAATAACAGGGTTATCAGCTCCAAGCAATAGCTCTGCTGTTGCTTTGTTAAACGCGGCTAAACCTTCAATGGGAAGATACTGCAGCGTAAACCATAGTTTCAGTGACTTCATATATATTTAAAGCATAAAACTCAGGAGAAATGAAATATTCTGATCGTCATTGTACCTCTTTGTTGTCTCCTTTCTCCAACATAAGCTTTTCAGCCTATAACATGCAAAAGAGAACATGAAAACAGGAAACTCGACTATTAAGCAAATTCTGCTTACGATTAGGCTCACCTTCTTGACTACATTGAGCACATATGGCTGCAACTCTTCTGTCCTATAGGCACCAACACCAAGATTGAGCTTCAGGTCATTTTTATCTGCTCTAAAAGCCTCTGAAACCCCGAGAATTGGGTCTGGAGGAGCCATTGGCACTCCTTCAAAACGAGAAACATCCACTGCAAGGGCCATCATAACGCGGCCAAAGTTCTGCATTTAAGAAAGGAACGATGTAACTGAAAGCATAAATTAATTACATCGTTGTACCAATAGACGTCAAAGCATCAGACAGGAACAAACAGGAACAAACATTAAATGAAGGTGGCACAAATACACTAAACATCATACTTAACAACAGCAAAAAAATGCTTGCATAAACTAGCTGGCCTGTTGGTTGTGATGTGTCTTAGCTTCGATATCAGCACACTAGAATACAGGTATTGGTATATAATTATTCCTACAATAACCCTACAACACTTGGTGCACCATTTTGTTTATTATGAGATGTGAAGGACCTCGGTTCCTCTCAGGGCGGAGGGCCCTCATAAAAATAGTATTTGCCTATGCCCTAGCAACTGTGTTCATTAGTTAACTTATGATACTTCTGCATGCAGTGTCGCCCTATTTGTTTCCATGCTTCGGTGATCCTACAAAATGCTGATAGATCAATGGTTAGCAAGAGGTTTGTGCTTGTCCAGAATATGCGAAGGCAGATGCTCAGTGGATATCAATAGACAAAAGCTAATAAAAACGTCCTGGAAAACTACAGTATCAGTATCATAGGAAATCACAGAACGCCAGAATTTGCAAAAAGACACTAGCAATACCAATTCCAGAATTGCTAATCAAGGAACTCCTAACCACAAACCATGCACGAGCGACGATACCCATGGCCATCTAACACTACATCACCTCAAGCAATTCAACAAACCATCAGCACGATCTAAGACAATAAACTCGAGCAACTAGAAACGCCAGCAGGCGGTCACCTTCCGCGTGATGCCGACGCGGCAGCCAGTTCTGCTTCTCCCCTGACTAACTCCACGTCCAAGCACCTGCAGCCATCAAACAAAACCAGCACAAAAGACGTTCAGACCCCGGCCCACTGAAACCAAGCGCAGATAGGCAGGAACTGAATGACGGTCGGGGACGGCGCGGGGCCCTGCCTTGGACCGGGCGGCGACGGCAGAGGCCGCCGGCGAGGAGACGGAGAAGGCGGCGGAGGCCATTTCCGGGCGGCGAGGGAGCAGCGGATCGGAGGCGGGCGTGGGCCGGACGGCCTGCTGCTGCTGCTGCTGCACTGAAGAATAGAGGAGAGATCAGGAGTGGAGTGGATATGACGCCCGTCGCTTGCGGTTGTGGGGAGATCAAGCCCAAGCGGAGGGGGCGGGGCGGCCGGTCGCGGAGCGGGTGGATGGCGCTGGCGTCGGTGTCTCCGTCACATACTGGGAGTTTTTTTTTTCCTTTTTTCTTTTTGAAAGGCACAGACTGGGAGTTGGGGGGGCCGGATTTTGCGTGTTGGTTTTACCGACTAGTCCTTGAGGTTTTGGTAGCCGTGGGCGCGCGTGGACCTGAGCCACCGGATTTTGACCCAAATGAGGGCCCATTGATCGAAGCCTACAGATTTTCCGTGACCGTGAGTGGCACCGTGGGCGCGCGTGGACCTGAGCCACCGGATTTTGACCCAAATGAGGGCCCATTGATCGAAGCCTACAGATTTTCGGTGCCAATTGTTGAAATACTCCTAATAATATGGAGGTGGTGACACACCGTTTTCAAAATTAGTCTATTTTCGATGAAATGCTAGGCATATAACTGAATATGGGTTACCATCGAATTAATATATATCACTCTAGTCATCTAGCTTGTACGATTCGTTTGAGGGTATTATAGCTGAAAAGGCAAAAACACCAACCATGAGACTTGTACATAACTAATGTGTCATAGACCAACCATGTTATATGGGACACATAGACCAATCATGCTCATAACATATCTTTTCTAATGAGCATGTTCCATAAAAACCATCATCGTGGAATTGAGGTATATATATATATTACAACTTTCCTAACTCTACATTCTTACACGTGTGAGAGTTATGAGTGCTACACATCGAGGTGATGATCAAGGTGGTCAAATATAGTTCAAAACCGATAAATATTGGCATGTGGACTAATGAAGTAATGTGTCACGCCTTGTTCTTTTTTTAGGGTGAGTCACACCTTGTTCATTTGCTTGAAATGGCAGATGATGATTTTATTTACTATTACTGGGTTCACTCGTCGATGGGTGGCAAACTCATTGTTCATTTTATTGGTGTCTTATAAGTTTATCCTAAGTTAAACTACTATAAGTTTGATATAGTTTTTATAAAATATAGATACATATGCATCATAATAAAGTCAAACTATTATAATTTTATTCTAGTTTATACAAAAAATATTTAAATATGCATCATAAGCTAGAATTCATACTATTCTAAGTTTGATCTGTGTAGCCATGCAATAAGATATATGTAAAAAAGACAAGGTCAAAATATAAACTAGAGTTCATACCTTGGTTTGCAAACATAGACAATGAACAGAATATTAAACCATATGTCCATTTTTATTTTGCACTCATCGTAAAAGCAAAACAATCAATGCTAGGCAAACAATTACCCGCAAACCGCTAGCTTATGTGTCAGAGAAGAGCAAAATGCCAATTGGAGAAACTAAATACTAAGAGTCAATAAAAGCATCACCATATTATTAGACAATACTAATACGAAAATACAGATATAAGAAGTGTCGGTGTTTCGGACCGGGGGTCCTCAACCAACCAGTGAATTTGAGCTGCGTGCCCCTAATCCCAGATGGTGATGCAAAGAGACATAAGGTTTATACTGGTTCAGGCAATTGGCGCCCTACGTCCAGTCTGAGAGATCGAACTTGTATTCCTTGCACCGAAGTGATTGTGGTAGGGGTTACAAGCTGGGTGAGAGAGGGAGCTAGTCCCAGGTCTCGGCGTGGAACGGCGCGGGCTACTTGAGACGTTGCTCTTGGGCAGCTTGGGGGAGCGTGTGTTACAGAGTGTTGTTTGCGCGTGTGTGAGAGCGTGGTTCTTCCGTATGCTTTTCTTGTCCCCCCCCAGGGCTATCCCTGGCTGCTTCCTTTTATAACCGCAAGGAGGGAGCCAGGAGTACATGAGTGAGCTACACGTGGAGCCCATCAGTTCAGGTTCTATAGCAAAGATGGTGTTGGGAATGGCGATTGGTACTTGACCGACGCTACCGTGTTGGCTGGGCTTGAGGTTGTTGAGGTCGTGGGGTCCTTGTTGATGTCTAGTCGGTATGGCCTCCACGGCCGGAGACATGCCGTGCCTCATGGATTCTTGATTTGGTGGAGTCTGGAGGCCTAGCGGGTCTTTAGGTGATCGTCTTAGAGGCCTGCTCCGCCGAGGCCTCGGAGGTGACCGGTGTATGGTGCGGGGTCTCTCGGTGGTCCGCGCGTCATGCCAGGTTCGTGTAGGAAAAGCACGAGCGGATGTCCACAGGCACGGTAATCCCCGCACCGTTAGTAGGGGATGGTAAAAGGGCGATTTGACTGCCGTCCCATCGCCCTCGCTGATGTACCACCTTGCCCATTGTGGGCGACGTAGTAGGTGTGTTCAAAGCACTTACACGGATGGGACGGCTCGCCGAGGGGCGGTTGAGGCGCGAGACGCGAGGATGCGGATGAGCCGGCCTCGGCCGAGGCGGAGGAGGCAAAATACGTCCGAGGCCCCGCTTGGGGTCTCCTGGACGAGGCGAGGACGAGCAGTTGGTCTTTCCTGCTGCTTTTCGATACTACTGGGACGTGGACTTGACCTTTCATGCTGCTTTGTCCTTGGCGCAGGGGTTAGGTAGCACAGGCGAAGACGGGTGTCGTGAGGGAGGCACAAATGATGAGCATAGTGGCAGGTAACCCCTGCTGCGCCCGGTCTCCTGTCCCATCGGTCGTTCTGCCCAAACTGTGCCAGTGTGCGGCTGACGTTGCGGGAGTAGTTGGGCGCATTAATCTGGACACGACGTTTTGTCAGGGGAGCCAATTGGGATGGAGGTGATGAGGTTGTTGCCGAGCCCCGCCTCGGGCGAGTCGGAGAATTGTCATCCCGTCCGAGGCCTTGCGGGGCGGGGCCTCGATGAGAGGGCCTCGGCGAGAAGGCCTCGGCGGGGCGGAGGGCTTTGGCCTTTCGCCTGAGGCTTCGGCGCAAGCCTCGGGCGAATCAGAGAAATGGGCGAGACCTTGTGGTTGTCCTTCAGCTTTGACTTTTGCAAGGCTCAAGCAAATTTTTTGGTTCTTGCTTAGGGTACCCCCTCTTGTGGTATCCGACAGTAGCCCCCAAGTCTCGGGAGGAGTGCAGGCACTTTCCTGAGGTTTTGATGAGACTTGGCTCAGCAGCTCCCGTCGGGATTGTGTTTTGTACTTGATGGTTCTGGTGGGTGCGCGCGAGCGCACCCGTCGGGTGTAGCCCCTGAGGCCGTGGAGGAGTGGGTTTACTCCTCTAGGGGTTTTTTTCTTCGTTGAACAAGAAGTTTTATCGTGTTTGCTAGGCCCATGAATGCGAGTTCGGGTCACTTGGGACTTGGCCTAGTTGCAGGAAGAACCCCTAAGCCTCCGCATGGAGCGAGAGGGCGATAAGTGGTTTCCCTATCTTTTTTGATGGCCCTCACGCATCCTTTTCGCTCGGAAGGAGGGGTTTGTTTGTCGAGCCCCCTCGAGTGCGAGCCTAGGTCACTGGGTCTCGGCAAGGTTCGTAGGGAGAGCCCCCGAGCCTCCGCACAGAGCGAGAGGGCGGTTAGGAGTTCCCCTGGCTTTCTATGCGACCTCGAGCATCCTTTTCGCTCAGAAGGAGGGATGGAATATGCCAGGCTACCCTCGGTGGGCGTGAGCGGTGACACTTCCGATGAGCTGCTATCGGGTAAGTCCGAGTGGAGACCCATGCCCCATTCGATAAAGGTCGGCTAGTGGTCCAGAGGCGCACCCTAAAAATACCATAGGGCTTCTCTAGTGGGTCCCAAGGCCGTTCGATTGGCCCCGGGGGCTCGGCGCCTCCCTACGGTGGGATCCCATCCGGAGAACTCCCTGCTGGTCTCGGACATGACTTAGGGCATCCCAAGCGATCGCTTGCTCGGGCCCCAACCATGTATGGGCTCGCCCATAGCTGTCCCTGACTCTGTTGTCCTAGGGTGGCTGTCGAAACCTTTGGGGGCCCAGCCTTCGAACCCCTAGACCATAATGGGCTCGGTGCCCTTTTTGTCATGTTTTTTGAAACCCCGAGTGCGAGCTGGGGTGGTTTGCTTTCGTTTTGGGTGAAGGAAGATGAAAGTGCATCTAGTCCTTTAGTGTGTTTTGGATGATTGAATGACAACATGTGATTAAAGGTCTAACCCATTTGCTAAGTGTGGACAGGTTATAGGTTATCTCATGAGTACTTAATGAAAGCCAAAATGATGTGTTGTTGTATAAACAATCTAGTTCAAGCACAAGACAACAATGCAAATGTTATTCATGCAAAGGCTCATTTATTATGGGATTTCCATTTGCTATGTGAAAGCAAGCTCGTGAGAATTAATTAATGAGACATAAGAAATTGCATATGGAATGGTCTCATACTTGAAGCTTACTAAATTGAAATGAAAAAGATAACAATACAAATGAATGGATAATTCAACACAAGAAGTGACTTGATGGCTTGAGATGGTGAAGATAGCAAGGAAATGCTTCGAGGTACTAAGCAAGGGTGAAGGGCAAGCGACGGCTTGGCGGCCGAAGAACCTAGCTAGGGTGAAGAAGAAAGTACTTACATTTATTTGAGGTACTAATCAAGCTATGATGGCCATGTTCATGTGGAGGATCAAATCACTATTGTATTGTTTGATGGAAGTGACTTGATACATTTGGGATTATTCAAATTTGATGAATGGAATCAAGTCACGTGCTCAAGATGGCTATGCTCAAGTGAAAAGATCAATATCAACATGTTAGCACCCTTACTTGATGAAGATTGAAAGAGACGGCATCAATTCAAAAGAGATTAACTCAAGTGGTATAAATCCATTTTTCCTTTGATCTTGAGTTTAATAGGTATGCCGCACTATTAAGAGGGATGCATCATGTTGATAGATAATGTTTCATAAGTGCTCAAGCCAACCCATGTGAGATTTGAGTGTTTGAGAGACAAAAAGGCTAACTGACTTGTTGCTGGT